GATAAGATTTTTCATCTGCTGAGATAGTTTGCCAGTGTCCTGTTTGGTGACTGTACCTCCGACTTCTGTTGCACACGCTTTGATGATAGTGGTAAGATTATCATTCATTTTGTCAACACTAACGTCGGTTACCTCATTCAAGGCCTCAAATCTATTCTGAAGTGAGACTTTGCATTCCTGTACTTTCGATCTCACCGCCAGTTCATTTAATTGGCTTCTTGCTTATCAGTTTTTGTCCTTGCTTTTTAAAATCTAGGTGGAAACGGGCTCTTACCATTCTGTCATCACTGTATCAGATCTTGCCAACTACTTCTACATTCTGTGCAACGCCTGAGTGTGCACACAAAATTAAGTCTGTGTCATTTTTAGTTTTGCTATCAGGACTTCACCTCGTCCACTTACCATTAGCTCCTTTTCTGACGAAGGTATTCATGATCCCTAAATTATTACGTTCTGCGAACTCTCTTAAACTGCCCTCTGGCATTGCCAGAGCCAATGCCATTATTCCTCACTGCATGGTCTCTAGCCTGTTTCCTGCCTACGTTGGCATTATAGTCGCCCATCAGAATAGTACACTGTGTCTTTACTTTAATAATGGCTGACTTTTCGTCTTCATAGCAGCATTCAACTAAATGATCATTATGGCTCAATGTACGTGCGTAAGCCTGTACTACATTCTTTTTGTACCTTTTGTTAAATTAATTACGATACTTGCCACCCTCTCACTAAGGCTATAGTATTCCTCTGTTTCCAGCGATATTCTATGTATAAGAAACCCCATTCCTAGTTCTTTTCTCTCAATCGATTCACAGTAGCATAGGACGTGTTCGTTCTTCAGCACTGTATAAACCTCACGTGTCCTCCTAACTTCGCTGAGCTCAATTATTTGCCATTTCACACCCTCTAACTCCGCGAATAAGACAGCTAGACTAGCCTCACTAGATAGCGTTCTAGCATTGAAGGTAGCCAAGTTCAGATTCCAATGGTTGCACCGTCCGTTGCGTTGTAGGTCTGACTGCTGCCTTGGACAGTTGATTCGCAGCCGCTGGTGAGTGAGGGCCAAGGGTTAAGGGCTGCACTCTTGGAAAGTAGTGGCCAAGTACTGCACCTGAGTGGCCAACCTTGCTCTGGTGACGTGCATTTCCGGCAGGTGGTCACCAGTGAGGTCGCACCTCAAACCTCTTCTTCTTTTTCTTTTTAACGATTAGTTTATCACACATTTTAGGTAAATATTCGATTTGGAATGGTCCCGCATCTGCACTGGAACCGAATTTTGTCATTGTATGCAAGGCTGCTGCGCTATCTCTAAGTAGGGGTTTCTGTTGCACTTTCTTAACATTGTAGGCTACCACCTGACTGTCTATCACCTGTCAACGTCGCCTGACTTGTAGATCACCTGGCTTTTTTTATTCAACTATTTGAAAGTCTATTAAAAAATAAAACAGCACAGTTTCGAACTTCTGACGTTGCGAACTTAGGCCGGCTTAGTGCTCTGGATGAGCCTACTTCTCCCACTTTTATTCTCTCCTACCTTCTTCTTGTCTCCCTCAGTTTTGATATTGTTGGCTTCAAAGTGTCCACAGTGTCGGAGTATTGCTGATTTCGAGTGGTCGCACCCCTACTTTGGCGTTTCCTGTCAACTGACGAGTTGCGCGCTCCTGTTTTGCGAGGTTATTTGACTAATTCTATGTGATTGTTACATTAAGTGTATTAATTGCAGGTAGTTGGACTGCATGAAAATTAAAGGCGAAAAGTTTCTAAGTGTTAAAGAATAGACAGGCGCTACCTTTAAGGCTGTATCCTATTTTGCTAAAGAATAGACAGGCGCTACCTTTAAGGCTGTATCCTATTTTGCTGACGTTTTGGAGTAGTACACAAAACTTCGGTAAATAGATATGAAAAGTAGACAGTGACCATGAGTCGGAACTCTGATATACGTACTAGTAATTGCATTTACTAGTGGCTAAGGTACTCAGCTGCTGACCCCCAGGTAGGTGATCGAATCCCGGATGCGGCTGCTGCATTTTCGATGGGGTCGAAAATTGTGTTGGCTCGTGTACTCAGATTTGGGTGCACGTTGAAGAACACCTCGTGGTAGAAATTTCTGGAGCCCTCTACTACGGCATCTCTCATAATCATATGGTGGTTTTGGGATGTTTAACCCCACATATCAATCAATCAAAGCTTGAATTGCTAGACCCCGACGATTCTCGACACTTCACTCATACACAACGATAAGTCTATGCGACATGTTTAGGCAGACAAAAGGGGTCTGTAAAACTTTTATCTAAAAACTTTGCAAATGTATGCTCAATATCATTTTCTAAGACCGTGGCATGCAAAATATCGCATTTACTTTATTCCAGCTGAAAAATCTGCCAATTATAACCACAATATTGAAGACGTATTTAAACTGCACAAAGAAGACATGTTAGACATATAGAATGATCTAATACAAAGCATATACATATGTCTTCAAAATCTGTTAACCAACTAGCCCAGCAACATGAACTACTTCAGTATATAACCACAAAATTAGTTGACCAAAAGTTGCTGCAAATACCCACCACGATGGTCTAGTGCCTGAGGCACTCGGCTGCTGGCTCGCTGGTCATGGCTTTGAATCCTCGCCGTGGCGGCCGCATTTTTGATGGAGGTGAAAATGCTTGAGGCCCATGTGCTTAGATTTAGGTGCACATTTAATTACCGCAGTTGTTCTTGGAAAGATTTCGGCGTGCGCACAATAGATGAGAAACCGAAAGGCGAGAAGGCAAATGGGTGTGCGGTTTTCGCCTTTCGTTTTCTCGTCTATTGTGTGTATGCTGAAAAGTTTCCAAGAATGTCCTCAAAACAACTCACCCAACTTTCCATACTACAGTCGAGCCCACTTATAACGAACCTGAGCGTGATGCGGCATCCGTTCGCTGTATCCCGAAGTTCGTAGTAAATGAAACACGGCTTTAAAAAAAAGTTGCGAGTGAAAACACAAACTTTTCTTGCCCCAAAAAGTGCGTGATGCGCGTGTTTCGAAGAGCAGAAGCGATAAGGGCGGTCTCGAGTTCGTTTAAAATGGCAAGGTGCTCATACGCCGAGGCTCGTGGCATAAGCTGCATGGGGCACTGGCTCCGAAGTTGCGTCGTTCTCACAATCCCATTCCTTTGAATTGCTCTCGCCACGTACTTCATTCATTACACCCCAATCCGTGCACAGTTCTGCAGTGTCGGCATCATCATCGGCTGTAATTAAATCATCGCAATAGATGTCCCACCTGCTCTCCCAGGTCAGAGTCGACGACGCGCTGCCAGAAATCGCCGCCGCAGTGGTCCTGTCCGGAAGCTTCAGGCTCAGCTTCACGCCCGGCGTCAAGGAAGTCGGCCTCGCGAAAACAGTTTCGCGCACATGTAGCCGTCACCGCCGCCCACGAAATATTCACCATCTCCACAGCTGAATACTGGGACGCCCAAAGCGGGAAGTTGGCTGCTAGGGGATCAACAGCTATGAGCAAGTGCTTCGCAATGCGGCAGCTAACGCGTGAATTACGCTCAAGCCACACTTCCGACGTTTTGTTGAGCGGCAGGAAAAAGCGTGCTAGTCCTCCCATCGGCCATCATAACCACGCACGCACACCAAGAGCGAGCAAGATGCGCACACGGGACACACATGCCAGAACGCTTGGAACGGCTCTGGGCTCGTTTCCAGTCAGAAAACGAAACTAATTGAAGCCAGCGTGGCGGGCGTCGCGGAGCGGTGGAGACGGGCGAAGGCATTTCTTTCCTCCGTGGGCAAAGGGGTTGTGATCAAGAGAGGAGAGCAGATTTGCGACAGAAGGGCAAGGAGTTGTGGTAAAGAGAAGGGAGGGTGTGGTGGGACGGCGATCTTGAAAACCAAAACTTATGGTAAGGAGGCAGGTTGGGTAGCTTGCTTGAAAGGTCCACGAAACTCGCCCGTAAAAAAAAAACTTGGAAAGAGTGCCTACGCGCGCAAAAGTCAAAGCACGGTCGTCTGTATCGGTGCGCGCGACGGTGTTCGAAGAATTGGCGGCCGTGGTCTAAAAATTGTTTTGTTGCGCCAACAGGTTTGCGTGGCCTCACGAACTTCGATATTTTGCGATTCGTTCTGTGCAAATTAAAAGCCGTTTTCGCGCTTCCGTATTCGCGTGGAAGGCTACTGAGCCGAGTGCGAAGTAAGCGAGAAGAAGTCCTAAATACGAAACGAATAGCAAATTATCAGAGTCAGTGTGGTAGTGTACGCACGTACACTAGACACTGACTATCAGATACAGTCGGTGGCCGTGGCAATTGGTGTAGTCACTCCAGGCAACGACAGTACCAGCGATCAATAATAGGGTAGATGGCTGACCGGTCTTCAAAAGATCGGTGGCAGTGTGAAAACACGGGCCTCGTCTGGCGATGCGGGGTGCTCAGAGTAGCGGGGGGGGGGGGGGGGGGGGAAGAGGTTTGAGGGGTGCATAACAAAACAAAAAACAGTCAAGGCACGGAGGAAGGAAACAGCTTTTCTTCCTCCATGGGTCGAGGAGAGCAGCAACTAGAGGGTCGCGAAGGCAGGGTCGGCGTTTAAAAATAAGAATGTATGGGCACCTCGCCGATGCCTGATCGGTGGTCGAAAGTGGTTTCCCGGGAAGTCCGCAGACTGCTGACTCCGTTCTCTGTAACGGATCAGCGGCGCTCGGAGACGTTTGCTGTAAGTGCCATTTTGTGCCATTGAACCAATGTATATTTTTACGGTCACACGGATATTGTTCGCTTTAAGTGAAAGTTCGTTTTAAGTGGGGCCGTTTTATGTGGGCTCGACTGTACTACAAGCCCAGGTGGTCGAAGTTTCTGGAGCTTTCCATCATAGTGAATCTCATAATTATTTGGTGCTTTGGGACATTAAGCCGCATTATTTATTATTAAGTTGCAGTGAGTGACCGTATGTGTGAATAAACTGACAAGCCCAAGACAAAATGCACCTGATACCATCTTGTTTGCAATGTGCAGGAGCAGCCTGAACTGGTGGATGCCGTTTTTGAGCGCATGTGGAGGTTCAACCAAACGTACAGCATTGCAGGACCTCTGGCAACCACCGAGGACTCCGTCCCTGTCTGGTAAGTCTGTCTTTGTGCCGGTCAGTTCTTGCCATCCTAGTCTTCTAGAACATCTGATCCCGCTGCATTTCGGCAAAGAATTCAGGCTGTGCTGCACAGTAGTGTACAGCATGATCAAGAGTGCAACTCAGTGCGAGCGACAAGGGGGGAATGGAAGAGAGGACACAGAGCGCCAACGATTTATTTCTTTGCAAAGCTCTTTTTACAGTTCCATGTTGTTACAACAGCCCAGCCTTGTGCAGATGATTTTAAACATTATCGTGTTTTCACCGCCTCTGTCGGGCTCACTGATAAAAAAAAAAGTACTTTTGTGTGTCGACATGCTAAATTCTTGTAATATATTGGCAGTGAGTATGGTGATGGGGCCTGTTAGCGCAGTACTACCGTGAGGGGGCCCGTCACTGTAGTGAAATCGTAACAGTGAAGGAGCTCGTCATAATAGCGATGCAGTTATAGCGACGGTCCCATCAGTCATCGTTAAGCAATGACTACGGTGAAGGGGCTCTTCACCATAGTATGAGGATAAAAATGAGGGGGCCCATTGCCAGTAAATTTGTAGTCGTTATAGGCGCCACCGTCTAGCTGTTCTGGTGGTGTAGTGGCTTGACGCTAGTCGTCAGTTCAAATTTCTGTATTCGAATGTTTTACATTTAGTGCGACAGCAATTCTATAGTCACTTTCCGCTGGATTTTGCCACCGTTGTCGCCGTCATTTACCTTATATGCAAACGTATCTATATATATGAAAATGCAAGAACGAAAAATAATCAAGAAAAAGACTCTGGCGCGCAAAATCTAACCTCCGACTTCTGAATTGTTAGCGCGAGGCGTTAGCCACGGAGCCTCGAAGAAGCACCTCCTTTATCATTCAAACGGAAACTTATTTATTTCTATCATTTTCCACTGGCGATCGGCATCTCGGGGGAACTAATATCGTTTTCAGCAGCGAGATGGCGCAATCAGCGTGCGTTGCCAGATAGTCTCGACATGGCGGCGTGCTCTCGCATCTCCCATGCGTACTTCGCCCCGGGGAGAGGGGACGCTCTCACATGCACTCGCTTAGGGAGGGGAAAATTTTATGCCTAGGGCCTTCACCAGAATGATTCTGTTGTAGTTGCCGGGTGCTCAATGGTCACTGCACTCGTAGCACTGTCTCCGTTTGCGAAAAGGACACGCTTTTCAGACCCTGCAAAATAACAACTTAGATGCTTATTCGCATTCATCTGTGCCTGTGAGTACGTTTCATATGGGTTATTGGTGCGTGAGAAATGCGGGGCACATTTCGATCTTGCCATTCTTCGCATGATCTTCCAATTTGTTGCTATCTCATTCATTGCTTTGCCTTTGCGGCAAAGCTGTGACTTTTTTTTTTCCTTATTTTTGACTCAAGGTAATACTGCAAAAAAATTATGTTACTGTTGGCGACGGTAGTTAGACCATGTGGATTTCGGTACACAGTGTCGTTGGTGTCTGACTTCGGTGTGAATCGCGCTATTTTTTATTTTCTTCTCAGTATTGTATCAAGTATTGTTACTTATTTTTAAATGATAATCATATACATTCATTGGGGATAAAACTATCAACTTTTTTTTTGTGTAACGTGGGATGAAGACCTTTCTCAATGATTTCCGATTGATATTGCACTGGGCGAACAAATTCTATTGTGTGCATGCAAATTAATTTTATTATCGTATTCAACAACCACCCTAGGGGGGGTTTCTGTTCCTTTGCATTGGTACCGTAGCTTCAACTAATAATTTGTTACACATAATGTCATGTTCCCAAATCAATCCGTTCCGCATATTTTTCGTGTCTCTGTATAAAGGCGACATATGGGCTGATGCCAAACATTGTGCAGGTCAACATAGTGTGTGCTCCAACCCTGAAGGCTGTGTAGTTGGACAGTATGTTTCAGTAAGTCCCAAAACCACAATACATATGGCTACACTACATGTAGCTCTGACTTTAAGCCTATTTCGCCTGAAATTGCACACACAGGCTTATCCATGGGATCGAATCGGCTTCTGCAAACAAGCGGATATGCACGTCGCTTTCGTCCCCTGAATGTGCGCTATTGCTATATGCAAATGTAGATAAACATTCGAGCTTCCTACGGTACAGTAGATACTCTCACAATGGTGTGCTCTCTGCTGCTGTCTTGCCATCTTGAGACTACGCTTGTCCTGCGGGAGTGAAACATGTTCCTTATTGCTCTTGGCGATTAAAATGCGAGCGCGCCGAAGTCATAGGCATGACCGGTTGTCTGAATGCTTTAATGTGCAAGTGCTGGCTGGTGCGCACTTGCACATTAAAGCTTGATGTACTTACGATGAGGGAAGGTAGTCGTAGTGAGCTTTAACATGGTTACCTCGTGCAGCAGTAAAAAAAAATAAATAAATAAGAACTTCTCCACCATTTAGTACGAGTACAAACAGCAGTACTATGTCGAGGCTCGTCACTATAGCCAGCCTTGTTAATATGGACCACCCTGTAGTTACATCATTAAGCACTCTATTAATTGCCTCAATGTGGTAGCATCTGTGCACGTGCTTTTAATGGTGGCTGTGAAAAATTTGTACACTTGCTGTACTGCAGTGGATTTTGCGGTGGGGGGGAGCTCAGACCAGGACTCTGTGGCAGCTGTCACACAGTGAGCTGGGTTCATCAGTGAGAACCTCGACTCAGCTGATCGTCTAGGCACTCGCTGGCCAGCGGCTCCTACCATTGCTCCACTGTAAAATAGGCAACATTACTCGAAACAATATTGAAAGCAGAAAAGAAATAGAAAAGTTCAGTAGGTCAGTGCAACAAAAATTTAAGTCGCACACCAATAACGCATCATGTTGCACACCAACGTACCCACTACGCCGTGAAAAATCAACGCGGTAGGGCTACCAACTGACACAAACAGCGACCTGATTTTATCGGAAAAAAAAAGCGAAATTACGACTCCTTGAAAGCAGTAACGTCAATAATGATGCATAACTAGAAAAAAATAAGAAATAACAAAATGGGATTTGAACTGACGACATACGGCACGATCGCATCCCCAACTTGCCGTCAACCCACTGTGCCACCAGAGCAGCTAGGTGGTGACGTCTAAAACGACTGCAAATTTGTGGTAACGGGCCCCCCTCATTTTTACCTATAGCAACGGTGCCGGAACCCGTTGCTATAGGTGCATCGCTATTATAAGGGGCCCTGGCATTATTATGACTTTACTACGACAACGGGCCTCATCACCGTAATCACGATTACACTATGCTGACAAACCCCCTCACTTTAACCATATTAGGGCCCTGTCACTGTAGTCACGATTACACTAGGCTGACAGGCCCCCTCACTCTCACGATAGTACTACATTGACAGGCCCCGTCACTATAGTCACTGCTTAATCTATATCAATGTGTTTCACGCATGGCTGCTGCGATAGTGGATGTTCAGCACTCTGTGTTTTTCCTTCCATCCTATCTTGTTATTTACACTGATCCTCATACTGGTAAACTACTTAAATACAGTTAAAGCTGGATATAACGAAGTTGACAAATTCCTGCAAACTTTTCTGATTAAAAATAAGTTTGTTATGTGCAGGTTCGATACAAAAATGCGAAAAATAAATGCATAAATAAACAAAAGAGGAACTAAAGGCAGAGCTCACTCAAAACACTTATGTAGCGGTAAAATACATTATCGTTGCGATCGTAATTTATATGGACACTCGACGGGTTTTTACCGTTCCCACCATGTTCTGTAGCAAGTCCAAATGGATATCACGCTGTCGTGCATCGGAACTTTTACGAGCAGGTAAAAGCTCTTGCGTGCTGCTGAAGCAAAGATCAAATGAGCCAGCCCATCTTGATTGCCTTGAGGGTGCGTATACAATAATATCCCTCGCGGGTTAGAACTGCCATTCAATGCTCGAGCGGAAAGGAAATCACCCGTCTTGAATGAGCATGAAAAAACGTGGGGAAAATGTTCACTCAAGTAGCAACAGGGAACATTTATTGTGAAGGGGCCCTACAACACTTTTTCTTCTGCTTTCTGCAGCGCAGGAGTTTGTGAAGCGCTGAATACAGTATAACCTCATTTCAACAGACCTCTATAGCGAAGTGTATTTTGGTCTGCTGTTCAAGCTACCCAGTTGAAAATTTCCTGCTGGTTGGCCACTGGATCCAGCAGTGCTGGTTTATTAGCTCATTCCCAGCAGTGTATGGAACCAGCAGTTGATGCAACCAGCAGTTGATGGAACCAGGAGTTGATGGAATCAGAAGTTGATGGAATCAGCAGTTGATAGAACCAGTAGTTGATGGAACCAGTAGCTGTTGATTCCAGCAAGTGTTGCAAGCAGTTGGCCAACCTGGAACTAGCTGACATAGAGCACACTTCGAAGCTACAAGCTGGCATTAAGCCGAATTTTTGCTTCATATTGTCAGCCTAAATTTTATTGCTGCTTGAACCACTTAAAATCCACGGCATGTTTCTAACTGGAAATGAGCGCCTTCACAGCTGAACAACGTCACATACCATTTTCGTAATGCTTTGAATTGGAGTGGTACCAATCTACAGATTGATATTTGTTTCCTCTACCACCATGTAGTTATAAAGGTTTTGCAGTTTCAAAAGTCTGTTAAGTGCACACAAACGTTGATCCGAAGTAATGATGATTATTCTTTATTAAAAATCCGTTACACTCTCTAACTACATAATCTGCCAGCATCGGCTTGCACTCGACGTATTTAATCGTTCCCGATGGAAATACACAGGAAACCTTGATCCACACCACAGCTGTAGCAACCCAGTGGCAGGCAATCTATAACAAAATAAAAGATTTCTCAACTGCTGATATCAATCTAATAAACATTGCTACTTCCCATTCATGGGAAGCAGTGTGCACAAGGACATACATAATAAGCGTCATTTGCATTTCTATAGTGTCTATAGTTCACTCATCAAACTAGAATTAAGCACCGTGTTCATACTTCATTACACGGAGACTAAGGA